AAAATCAGACCATTTACATGTAGCTTTGGCTATGGGTTTTGTATGATTCATTTCTAGACACATATTTGCACCATCAGCTTGCCAACATTTCTATGAGAACCTATTATTTCAGGCATTTATAATTTGCTCAGTGTATTCCCTACTGAATATTAATAACAAAGCTCACAGTCTGGATATCTGTGTCAAATTTGGGGAATAATACAGTGACATCAGTGACTAGTACTCTACAAAAGTGAAACTAACAGAATCTTTAGCTGAGCCAGGGGAGGTTTAGATTAGACATTAGGATGAAATTCTTCACAGAAAGGGTGGAATGGGCTGCCAAGGGAGCTGGAGTCACAGCCCCAGAGGTGTTTAAGAAAAGACTGGACGTGGCACTGAGTGCCATGGTCTGTTTAACTCGGTAGTGTTTAGTCATAGGTTGGAATTGATGATCTCTGATCTTTGCCGATCTTGTTGATTCTGTGATTCTGCAATGTCTTCATCTAATTGGTTTCAAATCTTGGAAAAAAAAAAGTCCTCGAACTATTAAACTTACAGAACTGCTTTCTGTTTTGCATGTGCAGTAAACGCTTCCAAACGAAACCTGATTATGTATTTTAATAGCGGGCAGTGCCAGCGATCAACACCCGCCCCAAGACACCGCCCCAGTTTTCCCGCCTCCGCCCTCAGCCCGCCCGCGCACAGCGCCCCTGGCGGCGCGGCGGCCGCGGCGCAGGCGCGGTGCGTTCCCCGGGCGGGGCCGGGGCCGCTCCCCTCGCCGCGGAGTGGCGGCCGCGGGTCACGTGGGGCGGCGCGGGGTTCCGGGTGCTGCCGCCGCCGGAGAACGTGAGTGCGGGGGCGGGGGGCGCTGGAGCTGCTGCCACCTCCTCCCGCTCCCTGCGCGGCTCCTCCTGCTGCGCTCTTCTATTCTGCTCTCCTGCCCTCCTCCTCTCCTGCCTTTGCCGCCGCCTCCCGGTGGAGAGCAGTGCCCCGGCCGTGAGGGGTGCGGCCGTAGCCGGGGAGCGCGGCCCACAGCCGGGGAGCGCCGCCCTGCTGAGCGGGGGGTGCCCGGTGCAAGCCCCAACAAGCGCGGTCTGGGTGGGGTAAGCTGCCCTCGAGCTGCGCTCTCTAGGAAGTTTCCCCCCGCCGCTGCATGGAGTGGTGGTGGGAGTTAGGGAGGTGAAGCGGCCGCAGGAGTCGAGTGCCCGGTATTGCCCGGTTTCACTGCCGTTATCTCCGCACCCGCCGCCGTGACTGCGCCGCTCCCGGGAGCGCTCCCGGTGCGCAGGAGGAGCCGCGGGGCTTATCCGCAGCCACACCTGTACGTGTGCTGTGACTTCGGGGTTACTGCTCTCATCTACCCCATTTTCTGCAGAAAAATACTTTTCACAAGTTCTATAAGCAACTAATTAAAAAAAAGTCTATAACTAGCCAGAGCTAGATCCCTTTTCGTTGTTAATACCACGGAACAAAAACCTACCCCCAAAACCTGCAAATAACTTGCAGCTGTATTAAGAAGCAGTGGCAAGTGTATCTTGTCTGTAGTTGGTAAGTCTTCTTACAGTCGTTAAAACAGCGAGTTTGAGTAATTCAGGTGTCTATAAAATGTAATTAACAATACCTGAGCTGGTTTGATTTCCTGAAATAGCACAGTGATGTTTTTCCTGGAGCTGGGTTTTTACTGACGTAGATTGGAGGTGTTGACAACAGTAGTATAACACTAATACTAGAAAGCGTATATTTCTGAATTGTTTGTATATTTAACCAGTGTTATTGAAAATTGATTTCTTCAAACAGTGAGGTTTCCTGTTCTTTCTCTTACACGCTGCAGACAAATTTTCCTTCAAAGCTACCAAGGAATGCTAAAATTCTAAGAGCTGTTGTGCTTCTGAAGTGGAGTCAGGCAATCTTTGAAAGTTTCATTTTTTTCATAATATTAAATTTTTTTTCAGATACAGAAGAATGCTCTTCTAGTATGATTACCCAGTTTAACATACACACGTAACAATTGCAATCAAGTGGGGAAAAAAAACCAACAAAACCCAAATCCCTGACCCTGAGTTAAACATCTGTGAAGTTAAAACTCAGCTGTGGCCTAATCTGAAGTTCACTGTTGTTTTGATGTATTTTTATTTCAAGCTGTGACATCCTCTTACCTTCACAAGTACAGTGATATTAAATATTTATGACTATTTCACTTTTCCAACTTCAATTAGTATAGATGTATCCTAGAGTTTTGAGAGGCAGTTACTAATTACTGTCTGTTATGAGAGAGATTTGACTTAGCCCCCTGGGTTCTTTCTTGTGAAAGCTGCCTCATTTATTTTGGGATAAGGTGGCTAAAATGGTTCTTGGCATGTGTTGTTTAACATGTGTATATTTTATTGTGAACAGTAATTGTTATACCCTTCAGAACACAATTTTCAGTTTTAAGTTGAAATTTTTAGTTAAAAAACTTTCTTTAGGTGGTACCTAAGAGGATTAAAAATCTATAAAAGATTTTAAATTTTCATGCTGGAGCAGATATAAGAGGTAGAACTTCTTTAATCTCACAGAAAACTTTGAATGAAATTTAAAATGTCACATAATAGAAAAAGACTGTTATACAGCCATTTATGAAGTCATTGATCGCTGATACTTAACTTTGAATTGTCTCAGAGTTACTGACTTAAATTGTTTTAAAACATTTTTATTACATATGTATGCCTTACCAAATCCTGAAATGCTGTGTCTTTTCAGTTCACCATTCAATATTCCTTTGTGAAGGAAAGCCATTTAAAGGCACATCTGATGAATCCAGAAGTTGTTCTTTATGAAGCAGTTAATTTTATAACTAAGTCAGAACCTTGTCTTTGCTATTAACTCTGTAATTGACTGGACATTTCAAAGCTTATTGTAGCTGCCAGCTTGTGGCTGACCTCCTTGCATGCTTATTAAATATAAACAGGATGATTCATTATGTTTCACATTTTTAGTTTATTTTTCCTTGCATTGGTTGTTTTTTCTGTTTGGTCTTTTCCCCACCCCTTTCCAAAGTCTGAGGGCCACAGTAAAAGTGTTTACAGTTGGCTCCTGCTTCCTTTGCCCTCCTCTTTTGCCCTGAAAACAGTTTCTGCTTTACCTGGAGATGCTTTGGATCCTGAGACTGTATCTTCACAGACAAGTGCTGTGGGCCTGTTGAGGCTTATCTGTATTGTGGAATGCTTTGTCCTTACCATCACTCACCCTTTTTGTTTCAAGTGGTTTTGACATTGGTTAGCTTTAATCTGGACATGTAAGCTGAATGCACAATTTTTTTTCCAGAGTGTACTTGGTTTTGCTTAAACATAAATCAAAATTTCAGGGTAGTTATGTCTGTTTTAGGGGGAGCAAGGGTACAGGGAAATTCTTTTCCTCTAAATTCAAATTGCAGCTGTAGGAAAAGACAGTAGAACGTTTCATTTTAACTGATATTTACTAAAATATTTACTTAATTAGATTATTTTTTTAGTAATTTGAAGTTGTAATATTTTATGGTTGCCAAATGAGTGAGGGGGTTTGTAAAAATAAATTTAAATGCTTTTTTAAATGCTTTTTACTTGGTCAATACAAAACAAACAAACAAATTCCAAGAATATTTAGTTCAGACATTTATCTTGAGTAGGTGACAAAAATGCAGCCACGTGGCAGCCTGGATGCAAGACAAATGCCCATTTCAAGTCTGTTCTGGAAATTTGTACATTTTGAAGTAGGTGGCATGTTTTCAAAAAAAAAAAAAAGAAAAAGGAAAAAAGCACCTCATTGTTTCAAGCTTCATTAGACTTTTAATAAACAGAGTAGAGGCTGAGGAAGAATGTTCAGACAGTTGAAAGCTCTATATGTTTTAAGGGAGTTGCATTCCTGAAGGCTCTCAAATAACTACTGTTCTCTTTCTTGTGTCTTTTTCCCTACAGCTCAAACACATATTGTGTTTTGGCTGATATTTTTGGTTGCTCCCAGTAATGGGGATGGTTTATGATAATTAACACTGCTGTAATCATGATGGAAAGCATTCCCAGTCCTGTTCCATGATTATTGTCTGGCTCTGTGCTGGATATGAGGGTTTCTTTTCTTAGGTGCATAGGTGTTGAAAGTACTTAAATTGGGAATTGAAGGGTATCAGAAGCAGAGATGGAAACTTTAAAACACAAGGCTATTTGGCAATTTGAAGAACGTGGCAAGATTTTGACATTTCCGCATAATTTGCATTTAAAGGATGTTCACTTTTAAATTCTAACAGTTTTTGTGTTGACTGTTTTGTGATGAAAAAGATGTAACCTCTGTGTGTGGTACAAGAAAAGCCAGAGGTCTGGGCAGAGATTATAAGAAATATCAGAGCTAGTGTGGAAAAGGAGAATTACTTTGATTAAACTTTGGATTAACTAATTCTCTTTTGGGTAAGGTTGACTTTAAAGTCAAAGACTGACAATGTAATTATCTGCAATGACCAATTTGTTTAACGTGTTGGTTGATTTGAGCTTTGTGAGGGCTGCAGCTGTGGTCTCTGCAGTTAAATTGTGATCATTAGACACTGGGTTTGGAAGGCACCAGTGTAGGAAGTTACATGTTCAAGAGGCCTGGTATAAAGCACATTTCTGTTGTTTCCACTCTGTTTTGGACAAGGCTCAGGCATTATGTAGCATTTTGAATATAATAACGTGGGAAAAATGTAGTGACTTTCATTGTTATGTAGCAGATAGATTTTACATGCGTTCTGGTTTACTGCAGTTGTTTTCAGAATTAAAAAACACAACCAAATTGGTTTTTTCTTCTCTTAAATTGCTATAATAAGCATAAATGTGATTTAAAGAGAAATACAGAGACTAAAAATACTTAATTATAAGAAGTGGCATTAATTAATTCTGTGTGTGAATTAGCATGGAACTGTGTCCTCCCCTCACTTTAGGAGAAGCAGAGAAGGTAGCCTGGCCCCTACCTGGTTGTTGATGTTTCCACCCTGTGCAGGTGTCCCAGGTCCTTTTGCTGTTACAGGATAACATATAAAATGTTTAGTAAAGTGTTTGCAGGCATAGCAATGGTCTGTAGAAACGTGAAACTTAGTAAATCCAAACAGACATAATGGGAAAGTTTAAATTTTGCAGCTTGAGCTGTCCTTTATAAATGTGCCATTTTTCCTTCTGTCCTCTAGAAGAATTAGATTGTTGCTTGTTTATCTAATGAAAATGTTGAAGAGGAATAATTTCGTATGAATTGGAAAGGCATTTAAATAAAAAATTAGTATATTAACATCTTTAACTATATTGTGTATAGTGGAAAAGAAGGTTAATAGGGTGTTGAAATGAGAATTTTGTATATATCTCGATATTTCAGGCAGTTTCATTTGAAACCTGGTGGCAGAGTTTTGAAGAGTAATTGTATTTTGCTGGTTCTACGTAAGTGATACTTACACATGGAACAATGTGCTGTGTACCTTCAGTAGTTCAGCAAAGAAGGGACACCCTGGAGGGGAGGAGAGGCTGTGCTGTTGTTGGGCCACCCTGCAGAGTTTTCAGAGGTAAAAGCAGGACTGGCCAAGCTGGGGGAGCCCTGGGAGCCAGCCTGAAATCCTGGCTCTCCTCCTGTCCTCCACAGGCGGTTCCACACTCCTGTGCTGTGTGATCCAGGGCAGCTGCCTCCCTCCTCTCTTGTCAGTTCCTGTCACAGTAACTCTTTCTAGCCAGATCTGTTTCTGTAGCCCTCTTTAACCCCTGCGTTTTTCTGGCATAAATAAGGCAAAGATGGAAATTTTGTTATAACTCTTCAAATTTTATATGCTGGTTTTGTATATGATTTCTCCCTATAGTTTTCTTTTCTCCATGGTTTACTTCTAAACTAAACTCTTTATTCTCATCCCTAGGAAAGCAGTAACAATTTTCAAATTGCATCTAGGAGTACTTAGCTGTGTCTTTGTTCATTTTTTAAAAATTATAACTTCTAGTTTTCAAGCTTAGCTTGTTTTGAATATTTGTAAATTTGGAAAAATGGTCATTAAAAAAATTTAAATATGTGGCAAAGATAGGAGTCCTGGAAAAGGAGACTCTAGAGAAGAATTTTGAACTATTTTCCTTCCTGAAATCATAATTATTCGGACTGAATCAGAATTAATGAAAACGTGTCTAGAATACCCAAGTATTTTAATAGATAAAGTACAGCCTGTCCAGGGATGTGAAACAGAGGTTTCAGACTGCTTTTTCTCTCAATGCTTGTCTGGATTACCTGTATAAATCTCTTTTTATCTGTGTTTTGTATCAGTTTACAAATTCTGATTTTTTTTTTTTCCTTAATTGAATTTTTGTTCTGATATATGAAAGGTCTCAGCTAATTATCTTGATGATTTTTTTGTTTAAAAACTCACAAAAACCAGTGATGAGCTTCAAAACACCACAGTGTGTACATAACAAGTTATCTTTTTTCTTTCAGAATTTCCAAAACCTGTATGGTTTTGAAATTGAACGAAAGACTGGAATTTGGAATAATCTTCACATTTCTTTGAATAAGAAGTAACAATGGAACGAAGGCAAAGAGGAGTCAGTGCTGGACTGCTTTTGCTGCTTTATCAAATTTCTCAAGTTGGACTCCAGAACATTCCTTCTGTTACCCTTGGGGTACTTGTACTGAATATTTTTCTCTTTCTGAATCCTTTGAGGCCACTGACTGAAGTGTGTCTCAGTGTAAATGAAGCTGTCCACAGAAAGAACTGGCAGCGTTTGCTGCTTGCTCCTTTCCACCATGCAGATGATTGGCATTTGTATTATAACATGATTTCCATGCTTTGGAAGGGCATAATGCTGGAAAGAAAGCTGAAGAGCATATGGTTTGCCTACATAATTGCAGTATTTTCAGTACTGATTGGAGTAGTTTACATAGTGCTGGAACTCCTGCTTGTGATAATTTTGGATGATCCTTCCTATGAAATGAATTGTGGTGTAGGTTTTTCAGGTAAGACAGAGTTGGTCCAATTCATAAATGTAAAATTAATATGTAGAGTTGCTATATTACAATAACTGCTAATTGCAGAAAGAGGATAGGTGTACATCTGTATATGTATGATTGTCACGTCAGTATGCTTATCCTATTTTTTAATTTAAAGTGTGTACTCTGGGCATGAACATAAAGTAATTCAGTTATTGTTCTTGTGACCAACAGGGACTTTACCTGAGAACATGAAAATATCATCATCGTGTAGAATTGTGTTGTCTGTTTAATATTGCAGGTTAATTGAAGCCTGAACTCTTAATTTTATGATGTCATATAAGCATTTCAATAATGCTCCTTAGGTAGCTTCTAGAAAAGCCTCTTAGTTTAAAATTACTTGTGCCTGTCTTTGGAGGACCTCCTTTAGATTTGATTTTTCTAGCAGCATCCAAACACCTGATTTTGGCCATCTTCCTTCCAGTAATGGTCTTGTCTCCTCCTTTAGCAGATCATTTCAAGATAAGTAGGGGATTTCCTTGCTGTGATTGGGACCTAGCCTTAGAAGGCAAGCCTTCTTTTTCAGCCTTTAAGAAAGTTGCTTCAACACCTCTGAGGTTTCCTTGGAATATTCCAGTGGGTAGGAGCTGGAACATCGTGGCAGTTGCTCCTCTGGACCTCCAGATATTTTCTGGTCCACCCCCCTTTGGTAACAAGCCTGGCCATTTCTAGCATGGGCCTTTCTGGGGGCTGTAGAGGCCCTGAGTGCAGCCCCTTTCCCTGAATGGTCTGACTGCTTGTGCAGCCTCAGTGTGGCCATGTCAAAACTTCTACTTGTTAATTTGTCAGGCTGGTTTTCAGACCACTGTGAGCTTTCTCTTGAGAGGAATTTTTTCATAAACACTTCCAATATGTTCTCTGAATTCGTTCCATCATATTGGCTGGTGGTTGCATGATAAAACAGTTGCAGTCAGTTAGAAATTAATATTATTTACTGTGATAAAAGGTGATTTATCTACTTTTTTTTTTTTTCAGAAACAAGTGGTTCTGGAGTATGTGTAAGATGATTTTCCATTAATTCAGAATTTAAACCTACTGTTGATCTTTATTCGTATTTGTTTGTCTTGTTTTCAGTAGTGGCTTTTCTCAAGTCACAGAACATTTTTTTGAGTTCATTAATTTTGTCAATTATTTCAACTAGAACTCCCATATTAAATTATGTTTGTATTGAATACCTGAATAGCTACAGTGAGCAGGCACATTAAAAAGCAGCTTAGATTTGGCTGTTACACAAATACATATTTTTTCTATCTTTTCTTTTTTTAAGTCACTGAAAAGTATCACTGAAAGAACAGAACTGTTCTGGCATGCAGCAGTATGCTTCATGGTGCTTTGAAACTGCATGGTACTTCAAATTGTTTGCATTTCTTTATTATTTGTGCACAAGTATTTCTCTCTTCATGTGATTTCTTCTTGTTTGCAGGAGTCTTGTTTGCTTTGAAAGTTTTGAACAACCATTATAATCCAGGAAGAGTGAGCAGTGTCTTTGGATTGCCAATATCCAGTAAATATGCTTGTTGGGTGGAGCTGGTGGTTATTCATTTAATCTCCCCGGGGTGAGTGCATTGATTATCTCGAAGAGATTTGGACTGTCTGGAGTAGTTTGAAATATCTCATGAAGTGTGAGTAGTGTTAGCTGGTATCCCAGGGCAGTGTTGGGGCTGCAGTGTGCTTTTTCCTTAAAACCCTCGATTTTGAGTACATCTCAAATTCAAAACCTGAAATACTTTTCCCAGAAGGTGTAATTGAATATTTGATGGAAGATAACAAAAGTTGATGGACAAGGAAAAGGGCTGTGCCTTTTCAACGAGGTAATTAAACAACCACCATAGTGCCAAGGGCTTCATTAGCTGAGCAGCATTCCAGTTTTCTTGCCATGTCTGTCCTAGCCCCTCTGGCTTAGTCACTCCTGACTTATCAAACTTTCAAGTAGTATTGTGCCAGTTTTGTTAGTGTCACTGTCCTGCAGTGCTGCTGGTCGTCATCCTCAGTTTCCCTGTGTGCTCTGTGCCAGCACAGTTCATCTGCCCCTACGTCTGGGAGAACAGGGCCTTGCTGTTCTTTGGCACTTGATTTTTGTAGTCCTGTTTGCAAATGAGTAATTTTCCTATGTAATATTTTGTAACTGTGAATCACATTGCTGAATATATGCAAAGTACAGACACAAAACCTGTGAACTATCAAATCACAGTTTATGTGCAATTTCCCACTTTTCAGAAAGGTTTAGAAAAAGAGCTCAGCAGTACTCAAATATTCCTTGTCAGATAGTGTGATACAGCTGATAGAACATTTCCGAGTACAGAAGGAGAATTCAAATACTGCTTAGGTTAAGCACTGCTTTTATTGCTTTATGCCTGGCTGCTCAACTGACTGCAGTGAGGATTAAAGACAGAAGAGTGCTCTGCCTAAATGCAGTTTTATTTGTGAGCTGCATGGCATTGTTACAAGGATAAAACTAAAGCTTTCAGTGCATTAAATTTTTTTTTTTCTGAAAAATATAAACTGTTGTTTTAGCTGCACATAGGTTTTATTTGGTGATATGTTTAACAGTACTGTTTTTAATTAAAGAGTAGTAGAAGAGCATTATGTATTAAGTAAAATCATATCATACTGTTTATGATAGAGGAAAATGTGGTTTCAGATACTGTGTGCTGTTCTTTTTCAGTTGCATAGGGTAGAGAGTGGATAGGAAGTCCAGAAAGAATATTAAAAATACTTCATAATTTCATAAGTTTAGATTGCTGACTCATCTAAACCTGTACAGAGGGCAATTTCACAGTACTTAAATGATAATGGGGGCTACAGAAAACAAGTAGTGATATGCAGAAATTCATGTCCTGGAACACAACATATTTAATTAGTAACTGCCAACTGCCTTGCAATGGACCATAGCAGTTGTAGCTCTCACAGCATATATGCTCTTATATGCTCATCTGTGTGCTCAGGGCAGGTTATAATATTTGAAGTCTATATTTAACTGGTTCCTTTTGTAGACTACGTTGCATAATTTAGTTTTGAATAGATAAGAGGTCAGTAATTGGGGCAGAATTCTGTCCAGTCAGAAAGCCATGTGGTAAATTTGGACCTGCCTTACTGGACTGATGTAGCAGGCTCACTTGAGAATCCATAACCAGTGAAAGATCCAGAAGTACTATTGAGCCTTTTGAAAACCTTGATCTTTGTGTTGGGAGAGGATTTAGGAGTTTGCTAACATCTTACTATTTTCTTTCTCATTAATGTTTTTTGTTTTGGAAAAATTTTAAAGTGCATTCAGTACCCTTCTAATCTTCCCCTTCAATAAAGGATACTGAGATGCAGGCTTTGCTTAGCAGGCCTTGGGATTATTTGTTTAATGGAAGAACAGACATGTGAAAAGTTACTTTCTGTTTAATCTGTGTCTCTTCCAGAACTGGGCAGATATCTCAAGTCTTAGGTGAACCAACATCATGTTGGTGATTTCTAGAGTAGGTGATTTTTAAGTATTTTTAATTTTCTGAGGTCAGATATTTTACAAGTCAGGCATGCATATTTCATAAATTTGGAAAATCTGTTCCAGAAAATCTGTTTGGAAAACTAGTGCCTTTTGGATCTTTTATTTTGGTAACTACCTTTTATCTATAAACGTTCACATCAGCATTTATGTCTTACTCTTTAGAGAGTTGTTGGTTACTGGTGAGAGAGAACTGCAGCTCTGCATGGCAGGATAGCACTTTGTGGTTAAGTAGGTGGCAAAAGAGTGAATTTAGATTTGATCTTTACCTCCCTCTAGTGACACGTGCATTTTCCTGTCTCCTTTTACCACTGATGCCTGGAAGTTGTCTTGGCTTGGGTGCTTCTGCCATCATCTGTGTAACTCCTGCAGATCACTCACCTGAATGTAAAAATTGATGGAAATATTTTACTTGGTACATTAAACATTTAATTTCTACTTTATAAAGGGAAAAAAAAGCACTGATTTTAGCTCATATTATTTAAATTTGTATAAATGAGTTATTTCTAATTGCATATGAGGAAATTTTAACATTTAGTGTATTGGCTTCTGTAACTTTGTAACAGAGGTGAAAAATTTGCAACTAGTGTTTACACCTGCTTGAATTCAGAATATTTTCTCTAAATTTATGTTTAAACACAGAAGAGTTTAACTCTTAATTTGAATGTTGAAAATTGATTTTTGAATTTATAGAGTACCCCATAGTCATGTCAGTAACTGGAGCAAATCTCCTTATTTACTGTTAACATATGCTTCTGGGTTGATTTCTCAAAAGACTCCAGAGTCTTTTCATTCTGTACACAAATGGTAATGATATTTTTTTAAAGAAATTGTTGGTATGCATAGCAAAGAATTTGGATCTCAGCATTTCAATTGTTCTTTCAGTTTTGAAGGCAGTGTATTACAAAGATTGCAGTGGATCTGCTTTCATGCTTCTTTCAGACTAATTGTAGGATTGCATGGATAGTGCAGTACAAAGTATTGTGTTTGTGCTTTCACTCAGAACTGTACATGGTTTTGGTAAGATCTACCCAGATATTACAATGTAAGTTATTTTCTAAAGCTTAAAGCCAGTTTACTCCTTTGGAAGTCTTTAAATGCTTTTAGGGAAATCATATTCTGTAGCAAATAAAATGATCTCTCCAATTAGTTTTTTCAGTATATTTGTTAAATACTTTTCTGTAACTATGTAACTCCCAATTTTAAGGTAGTTTAAAAGACAGAAAACTTGGCATTATACCCTTAGAGGCAGGTAATATCCCTGTGCATGGTCTCACTTAGGGACTTTCTCAGGGAAGTCTCAGAGACTTTTCTCTTTACAAAAATTCTACACTCTCACTTTTGTATCCCTACCAAAAAAAAAAAATCTCCCTTTCCATTTGTCACAAGATTTTTTTTTTTTTTATTTTCTAGGACTTCTTTCGCTGGGCATCTGTCAGGAATTCTCGTTGGATTGATGTACACTATGGGACCTCTGAAAAAGATCATGCGAGCCTGTGCAGGTATATCATTTTGTTGAATTTGCAAAATCTGCATAAGGAACGCTTTTATTTTTAAAATTTGATGTCTCACATATAGAAATTCAGAAAAAAATTTTTTTCTTAAATATGGATAAGAGCAATTAAGAATAAATATGACTTTCAGATATTTTTACATAGAGGAATACCTTTTTCTCTTCTTTTTAAGTATTTATTTAGAGTATAATCTTTCAATGAAAATGTCACTTCAAATGAAGTGTGGTGAAGCCCTAAACATATGTCAGAACAAAATGTTTCCATCTTGATTTCTGCTGTTGTGTCAATCTATTGGAAGTCTCTATGGTTTGCAAAAGGTGGTGGGATGCTTAAGAAATTGTTACTGGATTTCTCAAGCTTTCCAACAATGTGTTATTACAGCTTTTCATACTGCAGTAATGATTATTTTTTAAAAAATATTACAGCTTTAGACATCTGCCGTCTTAAAAATTGTTTTAAATACAGTCCTGCAAACTTTTAAATGAACACTCCCATAAATGTCAGTGTTTTATTGAAGTCTAAGCCCTGACACAACAGCTGTGCTGGGGTTGGTTGGCAGAATATTTGGTTTTTTATGTCTGACTACTTGATAGGCTGAGTACTTTATTCATGATTGTTCCATCAAATTGAACATGGATACAGTGTTTGTAATGTGGAGAATTATTTGTTCAAATGTGTGTGCTTGGATCACAGTTTATACATAGTCTGTAGGAAGGGAGAAAAGGGCACCAAAGCATCAGCTTTCCTGCCTGGCTGGAGGGAACAGACGTCAGGTATCCCGTTGGTTAAAGGTTAACCTTGCATGATTCTGTGTACAGGGATCTGCCTGATGACTATAGAACAGGCAGGCATCAGCTCAGCTGCCAGGGCAGCCTCAGGCTCTGCAGCCTTGGACTTGGCAAGGTGCAGCCTGACTGGCTCACCTGCTCTGGTTTGGAGTTGGACTGGGGACCTTCTGAGGTCCCTAGCAGTGAATTTCTCTGGGACTCAGTGACAACCCCACAGTACTGTTGGTGAAACTGCCCTGCAGACTGGGCTGCTGTGCAGGTTCTGTGTGACTGACAGCTGCAGGAAGCAGTGTTCACTGCATGGGCCTTTTTTCCCCGTGCAGCAAAGCAGGAATAATGCAGTGTTGCTCCAATCCTCAGTTTTCTGTGCATTAAACATTATTACTAATGAATACTCTCAATAGAGAAATTGTTCATTGTGTGTTCTGGGGAGAACATTATAGGTTGGTTTGCTTTTTTCTAGTCCACATGGATATGTTGCTTGAACGTGGCACACTACTATAAAATCTGGAACATACAAGCTTGCAATAGTATGTTTTCTCACTGATGCCAAAACAATCCAAAGATACCCATGACTGATTTCCTGCCTGTATCTTATGAAACAAACTCTTAAAGAAAGGGTATTTTAAATTTGAATTTTGTATTCTATAAAGAAAATATGATTAAACAGCATATGCATTATTCTTTTATTTAGCTGGCATTTCTTTCTTCACTGAGCCTGACAGGCCAAGGGACTACTATTCAGGTAAGTACTCTTGTTCATTTAACCAAAAACTTACTCCAACTTCAAAAATAGTTTTTTGCTAATGATTAGAAAACCTATAGGAGAGCTATGTAAATGGAAACATACACAGAATACAAAATATTCTTCACATGTATACTTGCTAAACTTCTATTACTTCTCTGGGAATTCTCACTTTTCCTCTTCAGGCAAGTGTGTGGATGGATTTTGTACAAGAGGCTTAAGCCTCAAATTAAGGTCATGACTTCCTAAAATGCTACCTCAGGGAAATATCATCCCTTTTGCACAAGGTGTAGCAGTGGGGAAATTGTGCCTACTGAAAGCAGCCTTTAGGACCTTGGTAAATATGCCCTCATCTGGCAAATTTATCTGTTCCATTCTGGGGTGGTTTTTCACTTCTAACAAGGATCTTCCTTTGAACACTCTTTGTAAATGAGGTAATTTAAGTGCAAGAAAACTCCCCTCAGCAGACTGAATTTAGGCCATCTTCAGTTTTTAATGGATGGTTGGAGTGCTGACATACATTTGATTCACTTCTCCTGCAGAACATTGAATCATTGCATGTGGAGTGTACAGAAATAATAGATGGAGTCCTTGTCTGTGAGGGCCAGGAGAGGCTGGGAGCTGGGCGCTGGGTGTTGGATCTGAGCTAAGGGATGCATATCCTGGCATTTCTTACCTCCTGCAGGGATTTATGCTCTTTCCTGGGCATCTGCAGGAAGAACAGGATAAATGCATAGTGATAACTCTCTCAAATATCTGCCAGTGTACAGTGGCTTGTGGCTTAAAGATGTTCTCAGCAGAAAGTTTTATGGGAGAATTTTGTCTTTAATAGCCTGTGGTAGATCCTTCTTCCATCAATTTGCCAAAAACTCTTTGGATCAACATGAACACTTTTAACACCTACATCATCAGCAAAGACTCCGAATGTGGCTTAGAATCTGTCATGTTTTGGTTTGGCTTGAACCTGCTAACTGCTAATTTCATTTGATGCACATTAATTCTTTGGGGAGGGAGACTAAACCTTCATTCTTTATGTACTTCCTTCCTTAATGGTATTTTAGGCTTCAGTCTTGTACTCACAATGGTCATCTTTTCCCTCCATTTGGAAAGTTGGAGTCTGTCTGGTTGCTTATAAAGAAACTATTTCACACGTTTGATCTTTGTTACTGTTCTCTGATGTTTCATCAGGCAGGGTTTTTTATTTTGTGTAGTCTTTCATAATTGAGATGTGCTTACTTTGAGCCAACTTTATAGCTGCTTTTATTCTCCCTGATGGACTTTGTCTTCAATGATCTATCTCCAATTTTATTATTACATTAAATAGTTCCCACAAGCAGGATTCTGGGCTCTTAAGTATTTTTGAAACATCTGTTTTGTAATTCCTAAACAAAAGATCTTAGCCTGCTTTCCTCAACAACAGCAACAGGGATTGTTCCAACTTAAAGGTGTATTTACCCAGGATTTTCATTACTCTAATTTACTCTCAAGTCAAAACCATTTGACCTAAAGGCCAGTAAAGAAATAAAACAATTAGTGCTGTGAAGTGAAATGAGAGGTGAGCACAGTTTGTGTTACCTGTTCCCATGGCTGGCAATCCCAGCCCAGGTCAAGGTGCTGCCCAGCCCAGCTGCTCAGACACTGAACCTTCCTCCAGTATCCCAGAATAGCAGGGTGGATGGAAACTCAAAAGATTTCTATTGGAAAAAGCTCTTTAATAGCTAGTCAAGATAAGAATTTGTACTTGACATTTCAACTCTGTGATCTATTACAGCCCCTGTACAAACAGCAGCTGCTGGGAGCTTGGGTGGGTGTACAAGGCCACCCTTGTGGAGGAGCAGCAGAGAGTTCTGAACAGCAAACTTTGTTTGCTTTTCCAGCTCTTTTCAAGTAGGGAAAATAGAAGAGATTTCAGGAAGTAGAACAGCCATGATGGGGAGGGAAGAAAAAAGCTGTCCTTGTATACTGACAACAAGCAAGTCTGGACTTTTTTTGCATCTTCTGGGCATTCCCCAAATGCCGTTACTTTGAGTTCTTTTGGACAAAGGGGAGATGGAGAGAGTTAACCTGAATTATCCTGTCTTCCAAGTTCACCTTTAGCTATAACCATTTAATTTTTGCTTTGTACTAAATTCATTTGTCTAAAATGACTTACAACTGCAGTTAAGAAAATATATATTTGTTATGTTCATTCCCTGTTCATACACTTTGTAATTGTCTTTCATCCTATTTGCAGAAGTCTTAATGGAAGATTTAACCTTTTGCTTGGTGTATGATATATGGAATAAATTTGGCCATCTGTGAATGAAGAAAACTTGCTCTAGTGTCACAGGCTAATGATGCATATCTTGATTAGTTTTTCACTTTCTGGCATTGCTGATTTATTATTATGTGCCTTTAAATACTAATTTAAATAGAAAAATAGGTGAAGTTATGGTCAGAACAGATTTTATGAAACAGCACAAGGAAACAGGTTTAAAAGTAAAAAGGTTTTAAGTGAAATTGTAACACATTTAGTACTTAGTAGCTGAATTAGGTTTTCTCTAAGTGCAGTTCATGAATAAAGTATTAGGACATTTATTTTGATTAATAGGAACACCTTGAACATGTCAATGTTACCAAACTGTGTCTCATTTTAAAATAAAAGATTGCAGCTTTCTGAGCACTTACAACTTGCTGGCAGTGTGAAACATAAAACATAGATAAAACTACAGCAATTGAACAAACCTAAAATACAGCATCCTTTTGCTTTCATCAGATAATTTCATGCTTTTGGTACCAGGATTTTTACACTCTTCATGCATGTAGTTTTGAAGCCTCCAGAAAATAAATTTATAGCTGAGAAAATGTTCATTCAGATTACCATAAAGCAGGGGAGAATGAAGGGAGTATGTAAAGATTGCATCCAACGTGTACAGGCATAAAAGCTAAATGCTGTCCCTCAGTCAGATTTCACTGCAGGTGCAGGAAAAACCTTCCAGTGTCAGTTGTGTTCCAAGACAAGAAAGAATTGGAAACAGACAGAATGTGGAATGTGTATGTGTATACATACATACATCTGTGTACATGTGTATATAAAGTCATTGTAGGGATAGTTGAAATTACAGAGGAATATATATAATTCTGTGTAGAATTTTGTGCAGTTACTCTGTTCAGTTTTTCCTGATTTTCCTGTATAACTTTCAAGACAGACTATTGCTGGTTTTATTTGTCTAAAAGTCCTAGAGTATGGGATATTTTTCATTAGCAAAATAATTTTTAAAAATAAATTATTTATTTATCCTCACTTTGTCATCTGTATTTGTTATTAACCACAGAAACAGTTTCACCTGGAATTGATAGAACCAATGAGAGAACACATGATGATGTTCACATTGATGCTAATAATCTGAAGAAAAAGGAAATGGCCTTCTGTACTTGTTTCATATAAAAATATTTCCATTTTTCTCATTTTAAAAACCTTTGTATCATTTTCACTTGGTTGGAAGAAACTGGCAACCTTTCTGTACTTTGGTTCTTCAAAATCCTTTGTTCAGCTGTCTGGAAATGAACACATCACAAAAACTTTGCATTTTGAAAATACAGAAATTAAATAGAAAAATGGGACTTTTATCCATAGTTTTCCTCAGTTGAAAAGTGTGACTTTTTTCCATAATTTTTCTTAGCTTAGGTTTTCTGTTCTCAGGCAAGATCAGATTGTGTTGTTAACAGGAAGAGAGTCTTGCTCAATTCTCTGGCCAAGTAATATTTTTCCTTTTGAATCCCATGTGTTTGGGTGGATGATGGCCTGTGCTTGGTTTTGGGCAGCTCTGCAGAGCCAGAAGGGGCTGTCAGCAGTGAGTGGGACACTGATGAGATCTGTGCTGTGCTGGCTCTCTGCAGAGCACACCATGAGCTGTGTACAGCACTGCAGGAATTTGCAGCAATCTTTCCCTGTGACTTGTCTAGGTGCAAAGATGACTGGAATTTATGATGACATTGGGCCATGGAGGAAAGGGGAAGAGGGGTGGGGAGAGAAACCTGACCAGTACCTGGTTTGTATTCTAGTGATAGCAGTAAGGTATCCAAATATTGACAACTGAATGTTCAAAGGACATGATGAAAACTGTCTTTCAATTTCTGTGTGAAACTTCTTAATAAGAGCAATTCTATGACATTTACTTTTAATAGTTACAAAAAAATTTAGATCTTTGGTCCATCTTTTTTCTATTGTTTATTTTTCCTCCTGTTACCATAACTGTGGCTTTGTAAATTAGAAGTTAATTCATGACATATATTGCATAAGTCATTGAACCCTAATAATTTTTTCTTTCCCAAATTAAACATTTTCTGGAAGAAAGCAAGAAGATAATATTTGATTTCACACTTGCTGAGTAGCAGCAATTTATTTTATTTTTTGATTCATTTTTCAGAGTATTATGGCTATTATCCAGATTATCAATACAGAACTTCAAGGAGCTACTTTGATTATACAGGTGGGCTCACTGAAGAAGAACAGCTTGAAAGGGCAGTGCTGAACAGCCTTAATGAAAGAGGTAGGAATTTTATTGCATTTTTATCTCTTAAGTTATGATTCATACTGAAAGGGACTCAGGAGGGAGAACAAGATGGATACCTCATGACTTATTTTTGGACACATCTTGTAATTTTGGGAAGCAATGGATATAAAATGACTTTTATTGTGAGGGATATTGTCTATTTTACTGTCTTTTTAAGATTATATTTTGCATAATTTTTAACTCTTAAGTTTGAGAAAGAAATCCTTCAAAGCTTTTAATACCAAGCATTTTGAGATGTTACTTGAAAGAATGAGCCATTTCTGTGGAGTTTTTTGAACCTATCAAGAAAACAGAATACAAATAACAGTGATAAGATTATGATATAAGTAAGTAGACAGAATACACTTTAAAAGCTTACACGTATCACTGTGAAACATCTACAGCTTTCATTTGTAGCCTTAAATAATCTCCAGCACTCCAGGTAAGATGTATTTTTTTGTCTGCTTTTTTTTAAACAAAGGTAAGTTTTGTGCTATGAGAGGGAGAATGTGTTTTTTTGGAGAATGTCCTTTGATGAAACACAAGAAGGAATTTCAATAGTACCTCACTAGTAGATTGCTGGGGCAAACCACCAAGTTGCATTTTAAACTTCCTTGCCAAAAGCAGCATTTCTTAACACTCTGGTAGTGCCTGCCTTCAGTGCTGGTTACAGTTTTTAAGCCGCACAGGCAAGTGAAGCAGGAAAAGGTATCATCATGTATTGTTTCCTGTATAATTTGGTGTGATCAAATATATGGGAATCTTGCTTTATTTTGCACCTCTTTCTCCTGCACTTCAGTTTGGACAAGCAAGACCTAAGATTTGAGCTCTTGAAATGCTTCCTTAAGCAAGCCTGTGTAAAGGTTCAGTTTGCCTATGGGCAGATGTCTTATTTCACAAAGAACATAATGCAGAGCATGTCACTGATCACACCTGCTTTAGGGACACAAAGGATGAGATTAAATTTACTGTGCTAATGGGCAATTAGGATATTCTTCCCTGTCAGTTACTTTGAAAAATAATTAGCTTGAATGAGCACTATCCTTTGAACACAATACATTTTCCCTAAAGCATGAACATTCAGAGATTCTTGCAATTACATGGATGATGAAACAGGTACTTAACATGACAAAAAATTACATAAAATAATTTGAAATAGGTTGTAGCAGCAGGTACCACAATCAATTTAGGACTCTCTTACTAATTTTTTTCCCCAACTATGACATTTCAACCATCGCAGCTGCTCTGTAACTTGGACAACAGAGTACTCCAATAATTTCAATTGATTAATAATATTTTTTTCATCCTTATTTGGACAAATACATTTATTATGGCTTTTAGGCCACAGAAGGTACCAATATGTATATAGAACATTGATCCATTCCTATAAACTGATGTGACAGTATCCTGCTAAGCTAATAAATAATACAGAATTTCCTGGTATCAGCTGTTGTCCACAACTGAAAACTAATGTGTATTAAGACTTGCATTGAATTTAAGCTCAGTAGATAATGTTCTCTAAACCCATACATGGATTATCTTAACCCAAACTAAAGATACAGCATTTCTGTTTATTCCACATTCAGGCATTCCTGAGCTGCAGATCTGATTTTATGCAATATCCTGAAATTTTCTATAATAATTAGAGTCTAGTGCACAAAAAGAAATTGCTAGGCTTGTTTGAGATCTGTGGAGGCATCAATTTTAAGACTATCAAACTATTTTAGTGATTTAGGTCTCTTTGCTGAAAGGAACTGCTACTTAATGTTTTCCATTCTCAGTTGTAGTTATGTCGTTGCCTCAAACAAGAAACCATTTAAACATTAACTGATTTTCTTTGCAGAGTTTGTTGGTTTAGTTTGGTATGGGATTTTTTTTTTTTTATTTTTACTGTTATTCTCATAATTTTATATTGGTTTCAAATTGTAATAGTTCTTCCTTTACTTAAGAAAATAATTTTAGGTTTAAGAAAGTCCTAGCCTTTGATATTTAAACTCCTTTTACTATGAAGTTCAAATATATGGCTGACATTTTTGTTTAATACTGGTATTACCAGCCACCCTTAATGTAACCCCAGTATAACCAAGTCCCTGATCTATTGTGTGCTTACTGTTCTGCTCAGAAGAAATATCTCGATTAGTTTGGGATGTGGGTTTGGATTTTATTGTGAGATTTTTTGGGGATTTTTTTGAGTTGAACTTTTGAGTGTCTGCCTTTCAATGTCAATAACGTTAAGAATCCTTTGCAAGGTAGTGTTTCTCCACAAAAGACTAAGCTTTTTAAACATGGAGGTGATAATCTTTATAGTTTGTGACTGAAGAGAAATACCTACAAGTATCAGGTATAGACATTCCTCTTATATCTTATCATGAACTGTCTATGCATTTCTTTGCTTTTGATTTGAAACTAAACCAATAAATTTCTCTCCACTCAAAAGCATTTAGATGGCCCGGTATGGGCTGGTCAGAGTCATTTGGAGCAGTTAGGAAATACCTGGGATCTGGCTTACCTGTTCCCTGGAAGAGTTCCCATGTCTGTTTCTTGCTACTGAGACAGGACTTTTTATTGGAGTCTTTGAAATTTGCCAGCCCTTGGAAGACTGTAATATAAGAATGGAATTTATGTGAGGAAACTGGAGAAATGCTGTATATTTTATTTCCAGTGTTATCTGTTTTTTCTGCAATTATAGAAATGCCAGTCATTGCACTTGAATTTGGTGGTTTTCTGTAGAAATACCTTGAAGCAGGTTATATGCTCAAATATGCAGTGCATTGTTTCAGATTAAAATTGAAATTTCATTTCATGAAATCATACACTAGGATTTAGGCTTTGAGAATTTGAGATTCAACTTTGGCACCCAACACACGTCTTGGACAAACCCATTGAGCAGACCTCATGTTCTAAATACCTTTCTAAAACCTTTCATAAACTCTGTGATCTGATCACCAGCACTTTCTTAAGCTGGGAAATTTCTGGGGAAATGAATCAATGAATTTTTATCATTTCCACACAAAGTTTTGGTACCAGTGTAAGACACAGACCTACACTTGCAACAAGAAGTGTAGTCAGAAGAATTTTAGAAATATTTAGTGAATTCTCTTCCATCTGTCTCTTCATAAATACAGTGGTTAATGTAGGATAAGAGGTTTGCTGAAAACTAGAACCAAAAAACTCCCGATTCTCTTTACAATAAAAATTTACAACCAAAATAGTTAAATGAACCACTGAGCCTTTCACCATGGATTTCTCTTTCAAACCAGTACCACGACCAGTTAGCACCTCTGAAATAGTGTGAGGTAAAGACCAGTTCTGCAAAGCAGAGATTTTTGAAAATACTGTCTACAGAGTTGGCTTCCTTAGCTCTTTGGGCAACAGTTGACAGTGCCATAGTTGGTGACATAGCTGGTTCTTGCTATTGCCACAACGGATTTTGAGATAAGAATTTACTCAGATTTTTGTGTTCAAATGTATACAGAATACTAAGTTCAAAAATATACAAATACACTTGCAGATACTGCCAATTCTTTTGGATGGTTTCCTTCTTGTGATTATTTCAACTGCTGAAGACAATTGAAATAGGAGGATGTAGCTAGAGATAGATGTAATGTGTGTATGTATGCAAACTATTTTAAAAGCATGGTTTGCATATGGATGTAGAGACCTCTTGGTGTTTTATCCTCTTGGTGATTTGTATTCAGTGATACAAATGGGAGTCTTTTCTCTGACTTCAGTGGTCTCTAGAAATCGTTTTTTTCACTCAGTAACTTAAACTTGTTCATAAAGGAACAAACGTTGTTGCTTTCACAGTGGGTTTGGCAGGGTCACCTTGCTGGAGAGCAGCACTTGTGCTCCCCAGCTCTGGGCATCGTGAGCAGGAGCTGTGTGTGGGCTGCACGAAGCCATCCCTTACCCTTGGAGAAAGTGGGAGCTGCTTGGCTCCAGTGTGCACTGGTATCTCCATCCATCCATGTGGGTTTCTCAGGCTTGGCATTGGGAAAGGGATATTGTTCAGTGTTCCTTTGTTGCTGTGGGTCTTTGTTACACAAGCAGAAATGCAGTAACGGGAAAGCAAAGTGGTTTTTTTATATTGTAAGATTCTTGCAAATGTTAACAAACAGTCTGGGAATGTTTTTACTGCTAAACTAAGGCCAGTGAAAATTCCTAAATTTAGATTTACCCATAATTTACTATTTTAGTTTTTCATTGGATTAATTCTATAGATTATGTATATAGTTTACATTTTTTTCATTGGGACCATGTAAAAAATTATGTTCTAAACTCCTTTTTTATGTCTGAATAAATTAGTCATTTTCTAAGGAAAAGCATACCATGGTATTTGCAACTCAACAAAATACTTCTACTACATTATGATAAATATAGAGCCCATCTGAAATTCTTCTTCTGTCTGAAATTTTTCATAACTTTCTTACTAAGGAGAGGAATAGCTGTCTGTTTATGCCTTGGGACTGGTTAAGTAGCATGTTTATATAGGGTTTTTGAGTTGGTTAGTAAATTCCTTTCAATACTTGGGAAAGAAAAACATGATTTAATGCATCAACCATTTTCAGTTAATAATGAGTTTAGCCTTGTTTTAGGTGAATTAGCATCTGGAGAACTATTAAATGGTTGGAAATGTAGTGAAATTATTTTATGCCATCTCTCCTGTAGAATTTTCAGTATTCAGCTAAATGGTAGCTGGAGGTAGCTGTAAAACTAATCCCCTTAATTCTTTTCAGAAGAACATCAAGTCCAGCAGTGGTCTCTATCCTCTTACTTATGCATTGTAGCATTGATTATTTGTAGAAAATTGATGATCTGAGTGTACAGCAAGATTTTGGCTTATGAGGCAATGATTGATGGTTTCTAAAAACGTTACCAGTGTGCTTTTAAGGATTTGTTACTTTTAAAAGAGTTTATTTTGGTGATACTGATTCAGGAAAGATGAGATTTTGAGGATGATTAAAATAAATACAAAAATCCTCAAGTATGAAGGGATTAAAGATTAAGTCTTTAGCCATCTCCTCTCCTAACCAAAACAAATTATCAGACTTTTGGGAGGGAATGGGTTTGTGTATTTCTCAATTTTACCATCTTTTAAAAACAAGAGAGAGATGGAGACTGTTCAAGATTGTTCTGGCTTGCTCTTGTAACAATCCAGCTGTGTCTGGATTCATTGTATGTTAACTTTCCTTCTAAATTCATTACCCTCTGCTACTTTCCTGCTAATTTGATTTTTCATTTGTCAGCTGTTCCAAAGCATAGCACAGAAACAGTACTTAGTTCCATTTCTCTTCTTCACCAGTTTAAGTCTGTAGATGGAAGAATAGTTTGCTTCATAGCATGACAAAATTCTTTTCATACATTGACAGAAACTCAAAGGGCTGTGTTAGAAACAATAGCAAAGGCTAATGAATGTGGTCTATTTGGAGCTGAGTGGGAAAAATGGGGCAGTGATAAGTACTAAAAGCCAGAGCTCAGACTGTATAGCATGTCTGCATTTTGCAGAGGGAAGGACAGGAAAGAATAAAAGCAGTTTTGCCATTTTATATGTTTCATTCAGTTGTAATTTCTCTGACTTCTAGTAAAACACAAAACAGGGAAAAGTTTGCTGTGTTTTGTGTGTCTCAGCTCTTTCTGGAAGTCGTTGTCAAGTATGAAAGGAGGAAAAATGCCTGTACTGCCTTTCCTTAGGATTCTCTGTACAACTCACTAAATCATTAGAGTTTGATTAAACCTAAAGACTTCACTACTCTTTGGCTGGAAGAGATGAGTAGAGCAACACTGGGCTTTTGATTCTGGCTTCTTGCTGCCCTCAGTTTACTGCTTCTTACTCCAAATGCATCAAAAATACCTTGGAATGAGCTGTCCCTGGAGGTGTTTAGGGAAAGGCTGGATGTGGCACTCAGGGCCACTGTCTGCCTGACAAGGTGGTGTTGGGCCATAGGCTGGACACCATCATCTTAAAGGTCTTTTCCAACCTCATTGATTCTGTGGAAAAAAATATTTGGATGTTTATAAACTAAGAGAACTGAAATGGAACACTTTAAACATTGGTATTTTTGCATTAAAAAGCAAAGCAAGTCAGGAGTTCAGAGCAGCATACTGCAGTAATCTGCAGCACACCCAAGTGCTGGTTAGTAAACTTTAATTACATTCTGTTGTTATAACATAGTCAGCAGGGCTATACTATTTATGGAAGAGATAATTTATATAAAACTGGTATAAATGAAAACCAAGCAAGTGTTGGAAGTTGTTATGACATTTGATCAAATATCCAGATCAGAGCTCTCTGTATTGGTTAGCTGTATGGTCCTTGCTGGGTTCAAAAGAGATTACTGCTATCTGTGATTATCTTCTACAGCAAAGCCTCTCCAAAGGTAAGAGTGTTTTTAGAAATGACAAGTGTCTGTTCTTTGTATGGGTATTGAAGTGTTTCTGTAGTTGGGTTTTTGTATGGATACCATATTCAGTAGGTCCAGGACAGATGGTGGTACTGGAAATGATAAACTGTTCAACTGAAATGTTCCAGATTCTTCTGTAACACAACTAAAGCTGGCATGAAAAAGAAGTACAGATATATTGCTTTGTGATACCTCTGCTACTTATCTGCTACATTCCTCTCATCAGACCTCATTGCATATTTCTGCTACTGAGATTTTCACAGTTTGGTAGCTTGATACATTCATTCTGAATCTTAGAAAAAACTGTCTTGCAAATCCTATTATCTAACCTAAAAATAAGGTCATAACTTCAGAGAAGAGGAAAAATCAAGTGAGAATGTTTGATGCAACACTTCTGTGGCATTGCATTAATACAGGTTTAGTTATATCTGTTGCAATTACAGTGATTTTCTTGTTTTGGTCCAAAGTGCTTTAATTGTGAACTTTAGTAACAAAAGAAATTCCTACAGAGTGACAGGATAGGGATGTGGGTCTCAGTCTTCTGTATTCACAGAACGTGGTTCTAGTTCACAGTAAAGTAATGAAATGTGCCATGGAAGGGTTAATGTTTTGTTCTAAGTTTGCTGTACTATATCCTTTGGTTTTGTCTATCATCCAGTGTTGTTGCAGTTCTCCATACACTTTAAATGCAGTCTTGGATTCCATTAGTCTTTAATTTGTTTTTGCTGATGTGTTGGTTTCTTGCACAGACGTCAGATGGTGTTTCAGTAGCAGCAGTGGCCTAATTACCATTTCTGAACACTGTGGCTTATAAATATTTTGATAAGATAAAGGTGTTATTTCATTAATATTTCTGCTTTAATTAAAAGAAAAAAGGTGTCAGGGAACTATTTTAGGTGACAGGATAATTTAAATATCTACATACAGATACAAATACATGTATTTAAAATATCCAGCCTTTGCTGTTTACCATATTGTTTGATGTAAAATAAGGTATTTTCTTCAACCTAAAGCTTTTCAAAATATATTGTCTAGCTTTTTATTTTTGGGTCAATATATAAAGGAGCATTTTCATCTTTTTGTAACACCTCATTTTAGTACTAGTGATTATTAAAGCACATGTATATTTGAAGTGTTGAGCATATTTTATGGGGACTGTGCACGGACTTGTCTTAATTGTGTAAGTAGGATCTGTTTTCTTAAATAAAAATTGACCTGGGATGCTGTATAGAAAAATAAATGTTTTTATAAGAAACTTTGATATTTAGTTGACAATTTCCCTACTGAAAAGAATTTTTTAAAAAATGCAAGTAGTTTAATTATGATGATTTAAAAATCAATTATTAAACTACAACATTATGATGCAGTTTTGGGGCAGGTGAAAGCTTAAGAAATGCTGAATGTTACAAAGGTTTTATTCCCTTTAAAGCTAATTTGCTCATCCCTAATACTGTAATTCTGCTCAGAAGGCAGACTGTTATTGTTGTTTCCCAGAACCCCTCAGCTGAGCTGGTGTGTGTAAGCCAGCCTTGTGTTGTTTGTTTGCTGGGTGACTCGATGTGAATTCTGGAGAGCTGCTGGAATTGCCTGTCCTGGCTCCTCTCGGGGTGCCTGTGGGGCTGGGTGTGCTCCTGCTGCTCAGATTTTGCCTTCAGTTGGTGTGGCTGGGCTGCCATGTGTCCTTCCCTGTGAAACTGCTGCCAGCTGGGGCTGGGAGCTGGGTGTGCATCTGCTGTGGGTCTGCACATGCTGGACTCGGTACTGAAAGCAAACACAAAAGCTGCCTTTGCAAGAAGCAACTGCTGAGGACACTGAAATAGTTTAACATTCTGGAGTTTACTGTGTAAAGTAGGATTGTGAAAAATGTGAATGCTTGTGAATACTTGTTATTCTTAACAGGTTAATACTTGTTAGATGTTCTTTTGGTTGTGGTTTGTTGTTTGGTTGGTTTTGATGTTGGGTTGGGGTGGTTTCTGGCTTGTAGCTTTATTGTTTGGGGTGGAGGGGCTTCTGGTTTTGGTTTTTCTTCTTATTTGACTGTCTGTAAGAGCAGTTTCTGGAAGATGTAATTGCCCTGAAACCATCCGAATTGAAAACATTCCATTCCCTGTCTCCTTTGTGTTGTGATGCTTTGTCTTACAGGATATATGTGCATTTTTCTTCTATTACAGACCAAAATAACAGTTGTTTTTCATTGTGTCTTGCAGATTTTGGTGGAAGAACACACAATAATGAGCGGCGACCTTATGGGTTCTGGTTCCCACCTGAGAGCCCAGATGAGGACATGAGGAGGCAGAGGCTTCGTAGGTTTGACAGACGATGAAGTTGGCAGGTGTTGATGTCAAGTGCTATCCAGACTTACCAAAATATTTACAGAGTTGTTTGTAATCTGTAATTTACAGAATAATTTATCATCTTTCTTCCATTATATTTACTATTCGTTGCAAAACTGCATGGGATTTTATGAGTTCAGACGCAGAGTTGGAACTTGAATAAGAAATGTGAGCTAAGAATCAAAATGTGATCTTTGGCTGTCTCCATCTTAATGCACCTTAAATGGAAGAAGACTGATGATTTTACCAAACTGTCTTTTCTTTCCTTAAATTATTTTGTATAGTTTAAGAATTCCTTGGCTTTTGACAGCTGATGTTCTCAGACAACAGGTTTTCTTCATCCATTGCAGCTGAAAAGTTACATTTTCTATGTAACTTTAAAACTATGCAGTTTTCCCTTACAAACCTTTCTCAGTTATCTGTGATGACTAGCTCATTTTTTGGGATTGCCATGTGAAATGACACTTGAAAAGATGGCTTTGATGACAGTGGCTGGGTCACGTGAGTCTAGGCTTTAGCTTTTGAGCAGATAAATAGTTGCAGTTACCCTTCCCCTGCCATCCTTACCAAGGAATTATTTAATACAAACTTCAGTGTTGCAGCCTTCCTCACATCATATTATCTAGAGTTTGGATGTGATAAAACTGAGTTGTAACTACTTTTGTTTTCCTAAAGCCTTTCTTAATATTTATGTCTTAAACTGCTGCCCTTTACAGAGCTGAAATAATTTGTTAGGAGTATTGTGTAAAGGCATGTGGCTATGCCATACAAAGCATATATTTATTTAGTAATATACTTTTTTTAAAGCATCTATTTCCCTTTCTAAGAAGGCTTGGAAATTTTATTTTGTATATGCTGTTCATGCAGCTTTAAAAATTGCACTATTTCTCAATATTTATCTTGTTTGAAGACCAGTATGAGACCCTGAGAGTTTGTAGTCTTGTGGAGATCATGGCTAAACACAGGCTACCTTGAATTCTTCATTTTTGAGAATTTCTTTACCCAGCTAGAGGAGTTGACAGGAGACCTGAGAGCTCAGTTGTCTCTCTGGGCACACCCTCCACACAAGGCTGTGCTGCCTGTGGCACTGCTGCCTGTTAATGTTCACTGATGAACCTTGAGGGGTTTGCTTCCAGTATCATCCTGAAAAATCAATCCTGTCCAGGCATTTTATCCTCAGGGATGTTCCTCTAAAACTATTGCAGAGAGGTGTGATTGCAGAAGAATAATTTGGTTATTGGCTTTTGACACAGACCTGTTGGAACCTCCTCATCAGCACTGATGGAGTAGAGAATTAGGATAAGCAGTTTAAGGGATTCACCAACCTGTGCTTTATTAAGTCTACTTTTCTACGAGGTTATTTCTTGAATGTAAAAAACACTGCTGTATATTTCACACAGAAAAATATGCTGAAAGGAAATTTTCTACTGTATTCTTTAAATGAATAGTACTTACCCTTTCTGTCTGTACCTAATGTATGTAGGGGAAACTTGTTTGCTGGGAAAAGCACAATATCAGGATGCAGACTTTGTGCTCAGGGTTTTGGGAAGCAACAGGCACAACTGCAATGAGACTCCAGGTACAGACAGAATGCTGATTTCTGGTGTGTTCTTGGTTGCTTTTGTATATATGCAATAGCCACAGAATAAAACAGTAGACATTTTATAGAAGGCCAACGTTTTTATGTTCACTGAAAATAAGTCTCAAAAACCTGCATATTTTTCTCAGCAGGCAATAATTGGATGTAAATGAGAAGGATGTAGCATTGGTTCCTCAGAAAGCCTTTAATGCTGTGGTCAAAACTTGCAGTGTAACATACTGTGTGTGTTACCCTCTGGTATTTTATTTATTTAAAAGCACAGGATGTGCTGCTAGTCAGGTTAAAAAAGACACTTAAGGAGTGGACTGAAGGAAAATCAAAAACCTGATTACAATTATATAAGCACTTGGTTTTGTAAAGTGAACTTAGACATACATGCTATTAAATATTCATAAAATTTGTCAGTACTAATAAATGTTCCTTTTTTTGACTTTTTTGTATACAGAATTTAAATAAATATTTTTTTAACATTTAAAATGTTTGGTTTTCATTGTAGCAATTAATGAGGTGTGTATTTTAAATGACAGAGCTGGTGCCATGTTGTCAGAAATGAAGGCTTGTGATACCAAGGGGGTGGATTGATTTTACTGGGACTAACTTTGTTTCTTTTTAATTTAAGGGAAGTTCTGGAGTTAGATTATTGAGAAGTTCTGCTAGGTGCAGTATTTGGAAGGTTTATTAACACCTGTTCATTGCAAGGGGTTGGATTGGATGGCCTTTAAAGGCCCCTTCCAACCCAAACTATTTTGTGAGTCCTCAGCAGGATTTCTGCCATTAAAGCCCCCATCAATTTAGGTTTCTGAGGGCAGATGTGGCAAATGAATCCCCAGTGTGCTCTGTTGCACTTGGTCTTTTCAGGGGCAGAAATTGAAGGGCAGTTGTCCAGGTGAGGGTTGGACCTTGCTTATTCTCTGGCCCTGGTCACTGCCTGACTGTCTCAAGTAAGGGCTCTTGAAGCAAACACAGCTTTGTATAAAATATTTCAGCATCTGCAGTTTGATTCCTTTGTTGTAGGAGCTGTGATTTCTTGTGAGTTTTTGGTACTTCCTCTAAACTCTGTGATCAGGTACCAAGTAAGAAATTCCACTCCCTAATTAATCCTAATCAGCAGACTTGTTAATGGGCACATTCTTGAAATTTAATGGTTGAACGACTTAACATATTACTGTTAATAAATAAGGGTTTCTCACAGCCCAGAACTAAGATGTGATGAAAGAACAGTGTTTAGCTTTTTAAATTATTTTTCCTCTTCCATCTTGTCTTTAAGCACAGGCAAATTCTGTGGTTTTGTGTCAGCGTGCTGTTTTCCCTGGCAGCACCACTTCTCCTAAAGGGAAAAAATGCCCCTTAAAATACCAAGAAAACAGTATTTATACAGGCATATAAGGTGTAGTAGGAGATAGTGGCCTGCAGGACTAAAGTAACTTTCTCTGGCCATCTCTTGCTCTGTTAATGATGCCAAGTGTATCTATGCTGTTATATAATAACAGAGAGCTGCTGAACCTTTGAAGCTGCTGCTTCTCTCCAGAGGTGTGAGCGTGGAGATGGCCCAGCACAGTGGAGTGACAGCAGGAGTGACAGCTCAGGAAGGAGTTTGGGTCCAGCTGCCCTCCCTGCTCTTGGCAGATGGGAATTGCTCTCCTTTTTTCCCCCTGATTCCATGGCTGGGGGATTGTGCCCATTTTGGCTCAGTTTTGAGGGACTGAGTGTGGATTGTGCTTCCACACAACAGCTGGTGAGCAGATCCTGGTGTTTGTGCTGTGGCTTCTGGAGTGTGCAGACATGAAGGACAGAATCATTGCATGGGTTTATTGTAAGCTTCTCATTGTTCCCTATATAAAGAAAAATGGTTATTTCTTACTTGTCACCAGATTTCAGAAGGCAAGAAAATATTAACACTTCTGAGCTTTCAGTTGCAGGAGCTGTTTCTGAAGGAGTGTCAAGCTTTCTAAAAAGTCTTAAAATAAATTCTGATACCCATTTACTCTTTCAGGAGCTGGAAAACTGGAGAAAGACAGTTTTTCACAGAAATCTAATATGGCTTGGGCATTTTTGTTTATATGATCAGCTGTGATGGGTAAGGCAATTGGGTTAGTGAAAGAGCAGATCAAGGATATGTATGACAGAATTCTTCTGCACAAGAACAGCAGTAAGCTCAGCTCTCTATTTACCAGCAGAAATTGGCCTAATTTGCAGCAAAAGGAGTGCAAGCAAAAGATTTTGAAACATGTAGATAGTGAACGTTCCTAATAAGCTGCAGATATTCCAGAATTTCCTTCTGTCACTTTGGAGCAGGTTAAACAAGTGCCCTTCAGGGCTGTTGGGCAGGTCAGCTGTAAATGTGCTTGCCTTGGTGCAGCACGTTGGATTAGGTCTGGTCCTTCACCAAACCATTCTTTCCAGGGATCATTCAAGAGAGATTGGTGTGCAGCCACTTCTGTGAATCCCTGTTTTCCTTCCTTACCCATGGAACAATTGAAAGAACAGCTCCTAAATCCATACAATATTAGTGAGTATGGAATGACCTCTTTGCTGACTCAAAAATTATAAAGGATTTATGTATGAAGTCCTGCAGCTGAGAAGGCTATTGTGACATCATTTATGCAGAGATACAACCTGTCTGTGGCTAAAATTTCTGTAACATCTGGTACCATTTACTGTATCTATTTCACTTTTTTACATATATCTTAAATGTTTGAGCACAATAGAATTAAAACATTCTAAAATACTAATTGTTTTTTTTTTAGTTTTTAAAATGCAAATGTGCAGTGTCTAACAGAGTCTAACAGACTACAGATACAACTGCCTCAGAGTAGCCATTCTTATTTTTTTCACTTCCCATCACAATTTAATTGATTTCAGCCTATGACAAAGTTTAATCTCTACTTCAATGAAAGCACCCCTTTGGAGTTGTGTTTGCCATGTGCATGGAAGATTAAACTGGGGAAAAGTTCTTGTTTTCCTGTGTACTGAAACTTTGTTTTGCCAAGCTGAACCTGATGTAAGTTTGGGACTTGAGTGCTTCATTCCAAATCTTGCTTTAAACCAACAAGGAGTAACACACAGGGACACAAGAGAATCTGTAGGGTGGTACCTTACTGTGGGTCTTCCTTTAGGATTTGGTTGAGACTTTGTCTCACGTGTTCTGCATTTCTGCTTCAGTCAATGTGTGGAGAACATTTAAGTATGTGGAATTTCAAACCTCACGAAGCTTGAGGCTGTGTTGTTCTGTGAAGCAGTGGGGCAGTGTGTGGTCAAGCACAAGGTGAGCTGTGCTGTGAGGTGTGTGAGCTGCCTTACATGGAGGAGGTGTGTTTGTTGGACAGGTTCACTCCAGATAAATATGGAGTTGTTTTTACTTTGTGCTTATAAAATGTCACCTCTAATTGAACTTCCAGTACTTTCTGGAACATCTGGATGAAGTGACTAGCAAAGGGGAAAGCTGCTAAATATGAACATGGAGCAGCATCTGTCAGAGTGCTGATGGGGATTTTTTTCTCCACCTGGCTAGTCTTCCAGATGGTTCAGGTGGGCAGAGTTTCAGCAGCTGTTTTTGTTGTTGGGTCAGTTTAAAATGCTGATTTCTGAAATCAGATCCAGTCATGAAATAGATCCCCGATTTGATGAAGCAATTGCTTCACCTGCTGGAAAGTTCTTACCAGAGCTGACAGAATTATTTTATTGTTTTGAAGACTGATGGGTTCTGTCCTTGCCTGACTGCTGCTTCTCACAGCTGGCTTTGGAGAGATTCTTTTTTTTGCAAACAACTGTTCCCCATTACATCTCCTCCCCATGGCCTTGGATGGTTGTTTTCTGTCTCACTCATACGGTTCTAATGCAAGTCAAGCCTTAGAACAGAAGTCCTCATCTGTGCAGCATTTGTCTGTGGATGGCCAGAGTGGAGTTACAAGTTACTTAAGGATTGCTTGTAAGCCCTGGAAGGGCCGGGAGTCAGCCTGGGACGTTGGTCTGAAGCGGCCATGTGGAATAGCAGAAACAAACTCCCAGATGGCTGTGGTGCATGTTCTGAATCTGGATGATGGTACAAGTCAGAGCATTGCTGAGAGCTGCTGCTGTGGCCCCACACGCTGTGCTGGAGCACTGGCACAGTCCCTGCAGGCTGGCCCTGTGTGCCCAGAGCAGAGCACAGTCAGTGTGCTCCAGGGTGTGCTTTAAAGCTTTAGGAGGATCCTTTTCAAACAAGTGAGCTGCCTGGGTTAATGGATAAAAGGTTTGCTTAATTTGCCTGAAATACAGGCAAAAATGTATGGACTGTAGGAATTCTGGGGTTTGACTGTTCTGATACTACTTTTGTTTTCCTCTGGTGCTCATGAACCAGCCAAAGTAGGAAAAAGGTTTTTTTGGTTACTGGTCTTCCAGTTTACCCTGGAAGAATCCCTGGACCAGTTTTGCTTAAACCTTTTGCACATAGCAATGTGATTTTGGGAATGACCTATGCCAGTGCAGGTACTCCCACAAAAGGGCTGCAGCCCAGGTGGAAAAACATCAGAGGGGAGTGAGAAGGAAGGTGCAGCACAGAGAAGCCACTGTGTACATTTAAAAACACCTGCCCCAAGAAGCTTCTGGCTGCCCCTTGCCTCATTGAAAGGACTGACTAGCACTTGCTGTGGTGACAAGGGAGCACAGCAAGGCCTGGAGTGAGTTGACCCTGGGAAACTTGGAGGAAAGGTATGTTAAGGTTTGTCAACTTTTTCCCTAAAATAATAAATTTAATGCCCTGAGCTGAGTCTGTTTAGCCCCCAGCAGTACTCGGTAAGTGATTTTCCCATCTATATTCTGACCAATGACTTTTCTTGCTCTTTTTTCCTCTTGTTTTCTCTCCTGTTCTGCTGGGGGGTGAAGATGTGTAGCTGCCAGCCAGGGCCAGCTCCCCACCCTTGTCACCTCATAGCACATGACAAGCAGGGACCTGAGGAATCAAGGTGTGGCCATGGCCCCCGCTCTGCTTCTGTAGGAGGCTGTGTCAGCTCACACTCCCAGCCAAGCACCACCTCTGTCTGGAGCTGAGGCATCTTTGCTGTCCTCTCATTCTGATACCTGTTCTGTGCACGTGGATTGCAAATCCAGCAGCTCTGTTGTACACAGATGAATGTGAAGTATTCTTTAAAAATACCATATTTACAGCATAGCACCATTATGATAAAATGAGTGATACCTGTTTTAAATTTTGTCTTAGTCTCTCCCTTTTGACACGCTCTCTATACACCACAAGATCACATTCAAGAGACATTTTCAGTATTGGGCTTGTGCATCTCCTTCT